GGCTCAGACTGTGGCAGAATCCTACGAGGAATGTGTGTTCCGCCGATTTGGCGCCAGCGAGGTGATCCAGCATGATCGTGGACCCGGATTTATGTCCGATTTCTTTCACGTGTTTAACAAGATCCTGGATCAACCAACGTGCAACAATGGCATATAGACCCCAGGCGAACGGATTCACAGAAAGGATGGTGCAGACCACCACAAGGGTACTAAAAATATATGTTCAAGATCTGGATCAGCGAGATAGGGATGAGTACGCGGAGCGACTTACCTTCGCGACCAACACCGCTCGGGATCGGATCCGCAGAGAGACACCCTTCTATATGGTACATGGCTGGGATCCGAGATCCACACTAGAGGCGGTGATCCCGATGGGAAGTACACGAAGACAAGATCGGGATCCGCGGAGATGGCGATATCGGATCCAGAGGAATTACCAACAGGCACGGGAGCAGGTGAATCAGCGCTTACGGGAGGCGATCTCAGATCGGGCAGATCAGCACAACGATATAGTACGTCCGCATCAAGTCGAGACCGGATCTCGAGTCTGGTTATATCTGGATCAGGTGCGAGAGGGGTATGCCAAAAAGCTTGCATATCTGTGGCATGCCCCTTTCCGTGCGGCTGAGAAGATCGGTGAGTACGCGGTGAAACTCGAGATTGCCGGATCCGTGTACAATATTTTCCCCGTATTTCATGTGTCGAAGATCAAGACAGTTAGAGACTTCCCAGATCGGCAGGTTGTACGTCTTACTGTGAAGGATCAGGATCGGCTAGAATTCGACGAAGCACTCCTCCCTGGAGATAGCTGGATTCAAGATCGTGATCCGGACGAGTACGAGATTGAGAGGATCTGACTGGCAGGAGAACAAGATATGGCAGGATCCTGCGTGAATTCTTGGTACACAGGCGTGGGTACGAAGATCCGACCTGGATCGATGAGGCAGATCTCAACTGTGACGCAATACTTCACGAGTTCTTGCGGGATCGCGCCAAACAGAATCGGTTTAGCGTGATGCAACCTCACGAAGAGGCCTAAGGGCAAGATCCGCATAGGTGAGTTGGTCACTAATGCGAGAAGGCTAGGATGAAGGATCTGTAGGGAGGCCACGGATCGGAGGAAGGATATATTACGATGTGCCGAAAACTACAAAGATCGAGATCCGAGATGATGTGGAGATGGGTCGTGAACTAATGGACTCTGCATGAATGAGTATGAAATGAGCAGTGAAGTAAAACGAAAGGAGGAATATTTTTGCGGGAGGACCACAGATCTGCTAAAGCATCCGAGCCGGCGGGTACTTCAGGATCGGCAGGTGCGTCGGGATCCGGAGGCGAGTTGTGTCGAGCACTCTCCATGCCAAAAAAATTCTCCACCAGCCGAGGGATCCGATGCGCAGGGTGATCCGTTGTGGAGCTGCGATAATAGTTTCGCCACGGATCCGCCTCGTCACAATCGACAAATGCCTCGATCAAGGTAGCAGGATCCGACCGACCAGCGCGGCGAGCTTCGATTCATCGATACCAAGCCACCTCGTCTGATCTCTTGGAGAAGTGGAGAAAGAAGGGAGCCAGCAAGAGATCGAGATCGCACCAGCCTTCCAGCATGGCCAACACAAAAATGGGTAAGATCCTACGCCAGCGATCGCCGGCATGAAATCGTCGATTTTTTGCGCGTTTGCAGAGGACAGCCAGACGTGGGAAATCTGCACACATGCGCTTAGTGATCGGGAGCTTGTGAGTAGATTCCCACTACGCGATGATGTCTTGGATCCCCAACTGCGAATACTCCTCCAGGTAGACGCCAAGTCGACCACCCACCAGGACCTCGAAGCAAATCGGGTCTGGTACATTACCCCCGCCGAGGATCTCCCAGGGAGACTCGCGGTTGAGAGCCTCGATGTTGTCTGCCGTGATCAAGTGAGCACAGTAATCTGCATCTGAGGGAGGTCGAGATCGTGGCGTGTAGTGAGGGTAGACCCACTCGGGTCGAAACGGCAGCGTAGTCGCAAGAAGATCCACCGTCATCGTCATAATCGTCCATCGACTTAGATCATCCATCACCCAGGGATCAATATCGGCAGCCGAAAACACACGGATCTGGGTACGCCCTAGAATGCAGAGATTATCGGCGAGAGGATCCTGGGGTAACATATCTGGATTACGGGCGGATGATTACCAGCAGGTCGATCGGCAGGAGGATCTGGAGCATCGTCATCGTCGTTGCCAGATCCGTCATCGCCCGGATTACCCCTCCACCACCGGTACGACGCGGAGATGCGTGATCACGCCGACGTTGCGCGGATCTTGACTGGTTAATAGCTAGAAAGGTGTCCTTTTCAAACATATAATTCTCGACCTCCTCGGTCTCGTGATTGGTGGATGGAGCGGAGCTGTCTGGATCCGCCATGTCGGCGTGATCTTCCTTCGTCAGCGGCGTGATCCTTGGTCTCCTCGTCACGACCAGTGAGATCCAAGATCTGCGGTTGAGAGTCATTATCCTGAGGATTCGGTGTCGATCCTTCGGGCTTACGTTTCAGCGGTGTGTTATCGCTACTCGAATTACCGGATCCACCGAGTTCGTGGGCAGCACTTAACGGATCAGACGAAAAAGACGAGTCCTCTGGATCCGGACCCTTCTTGGCAACCTGGCTGCCAGTCTCATCATCGCCTTGGTCATCATCCGGCAGAGATCCGCCACCCATGTCGATGTCTGCAGGTTCCTCGGCCAGATCTTTGTCATCCTCGTCCTCTAGGGGTTCGGGACACTCTGGGGCTCCCAGATCCTCAGTTCCATGCCCCGTGTGCAACAAGCTCAAGCACACTCGGGAGCGCTGTTAGCAGCTGATGAAGTGTGACTGGTGCGGGGGCAAACACCCAACCAGTCAGTGC